GTGAAGGGGTAAATATACTTAATTTTAAATATATAAAATCATTTTACTCCTTCATTCTAACCAGACACAAGGTGTATACGAAAAATAAGTGAATTTCCATGATTTCCTTTAGATAAAATTGTTATAGAGACAGTCATTCCATATGAAAATACAAAATTAAGAGATTGGTCTCATCACAAGACGATGAATCATTCCCAGCATTAAGAAGCCGGTTGGCTTTAATACGACGTTCAGGCTGAAGCAGTACACGAGACGTCCTCCACCGTTTCGGCTGAAAATAAACCAAGCCTTCGTACGTTATAAGAAACACGCACGAGGTCGACCTAGGAATCCTTTCATCCTGCAATTTCAAACGGAATGAGTCGTTCCAAATAGTATCCAGTAGCTCAAGCGAATAATTCAGAGGCAAACGTTAGTTCCCCCAAATTCTTCGCCTAAGTGATATTATCAAGTAATTTTAGACGCATATAAAAGCTGATGACTGGGGTGGTTCATAGATAAAGATAGCAATAGATAATAATTACGGCCTACCTCTAACCGTTGAACGATGGGCGTATCAAACGGCAGCAATGGCGAAATGTAGCCTGTGACGAGACCAAAAGCGAGAGCTCTGAGTGCGAGTAGGGCGAATCGGTGAAAGTTGATTGGAGGTAATTTTCGCTCTGAATATCCATCCAGATAGGCTCGATAATCGACATAGAAAACGAAGGGACCCACACAAACGCCATGAAAATTGAGCATGTAAGCAGCGAACTCAATTGGATCAGGCAGCTGGTCGACGGCATGTTTAATGTGGCTTGGCGGCATGTAGGATTTATGAGATCGGTTAGAGGAATAGACGGCAGCAACAGAAGCCCCACCAGCGCCAGGAGCAATTCCATTGTCTGCTGTTTGAGGACAATCAATTTTCTTGAAATCGTTTGGTAACGAAGGTATGCGATTAGTGAGCGGCACACTAGCACTTATGGCAGTGATAGAATCAGCCGAGGAGGGGCTCGAATTCGAAAGGCTAGGCGCCAAAAGGTGTCGATACTGATCCAGTCGTGGATCACTGCTGCTTTTTGTTAACCCAGCCAAATGAAGACCCGACGGGCATAGGCTCGACTTGCCTAGACTAATGCCGATTCCGGATGTGGACAACCCAGTAATCCCGGGCTGTCCACTCGAAAATGGCAACACCATGGTGGAGAGTGCTGGTGGCAAGCCAGTATGCAGAAGAGGTGCGTTTTCTTCCGAGGCTAAAGTGTCCCTCGAGGCCGATTCCAAATGTAACGAGTTGTTGGCTCGGCCAATCCCTCCATCTGAGGCAAGGATTAAGCTAGACAAAAGGGGACTGTTTGATCGCGAGCAAGTGCCCTGCACCCCATCGAATCCAGCAGCATCGACTGACAGTTTTCCCGTGACTTGTTGCAGTTTATGAAGTTCCAAATGTTGCTGCCGTTGTTGCTGAAGTGCTAGCTCATCCTCGCGCAGTTGCGCCTGGGTCTGTTGATGACGCTTCAGGCGTTCTCCATCGAGCAAATTGAAAGCCAAGGTTGAAAGACGTTGAGTCTGAATCATGACAGGACCGGAGATATCAAGCGTGTAACCGCCATAGTCATAATGCAACCGGCAGAGGTGTACAGCTGACAAATATAGCATTGACCAGGCAGTGACGACCACGGCTGCGGTGCGCCGGTTGGGTATTATAAGAAGGAAGACATAGGCAATAGCCGATTGCAGAAGGAGGACGCGCAGTTGTTGACCGAAGCAGAAGGAGACCAACATCACACCAAATAGAATCTCAAGAGTGGCACGCGCGTGAGCAGAGTAGCGCGGTGGAGCAAACCAGCGCCGCATCACTAGACCTAAACAAAGTGTGGCTAGACAGACGAGGACAAAGTTGATCTGATCTAAACTGACACCGACCAATTGTGAGAGTGGATCAAAAAGACGTGAACCAGTGTAGAAGCCTCCACGAACTGGCTGTCGAGAACCATCTTCGGGATCTAAGGAAGAAAGTGCATTCCCACCGGGACGCGAAGCAGCGGCAAGATTAACACCCATAAATACGGCGTTAAATGCGGTCCACGACGTCATAGCGCCAGAAAGCCAGTTGTGATTTGGCAGACTGGCCGAACGAGGAGCATCAAAGGGGGCGGATGTAGGCAGGGATGGAACAAGGGTAGTGGTAGTGGTTGAGGAACTGTGAGAAATCGAAATAGAAGATGTAAAGGAAGGGAGAAGAGGGGAAGGAGAGGAAGATGGAGAAAGTGGGAAAGTAGTGAACGAAGAGTTGTCTGGGCTTGATTCGTGGGGTACAGAAAAATCAGCGGAATAGAATAGAATTGGATTAGCCGAAACGACGGATAATGAAGATAAGGCTTGAACGATACCTCCAGCAATGCTGAGGGCAAAGGAAAAGGAAGTCCTAGAGCCAAGGCTGAAATAGGTGCCTGAGAAGGGAGGAATCTTCAACACACTGTAGGAGTGTAAACATGGAGTAGGATTTACTCTAGAGAGCGAAGGTGAAGCGACTGAATGGAGTGCACAATCAGCGTTTGTATCTGGCACAGCATGTTGGCCACCTAATAATGGCACGGCACAGGTGCACGCAGAAATCGAAGACCGTCGGTAGGAGAAAAAAGAGCACATAGAAGGCATACTCGAAACAATGTCACCGAGGAAGGTGGATCATATAAAAAAAAAGATTTAGATAAAAGTTTATGAAAAAAGTGTTGCATTACTGAATGAGATAGGGTGGGACAGTCGATGTGCTTGGAGGACTGTAAACACTCGGAAGGATTAGGTAACGTAATGGAATGCCAGAAAATTGATTAAGGGAAATAGATCCATCAGTTAATAGACAGACAAAAGCTGCACACAGCCGAGACAAAAAAAGCGCCCATAGTGTATTTGAGACCTTAGTATCTAAAAAGCAAAATAAAGTGAATTTGTGTTGAGTAGGCTAATATGTGTAAATTATGAAAAAGAATTGTATTCGCCTTAGGTCTTATAAGGTGATACAGAATTGACATTTAAATTGTATCATAATGGTAAGAGTAGGAATTATTATTCCTTTGAGGATTCTTGTGGGGGGCAAGATCACGTAAAATGCATAGGCATCGCAAAGCCTCTCATACAATTGTAGA